TATGGGATATTTATATTTCGGTCTTAGGTCAGCGATAAGCTTTTTAACTGTACACTTTGCAGTTGGTTTTTAATTGCTTGGACAAAACGGCAAGTCGTTATGCATATCATGAAGGGATGCTGGGTATTCTAAATCTACTTCAAGAATATATCCATATTCAGCGTTTCAGAAATTGAAAATTAATGAAATGATCGTATTTCATCCTCACTTAACCACTGGAAATCAACATATGGAAGATATTGTGACATCGCCCACCCATATAGATTAATTGAATCCAAATACATTGAATATTGAGAGGGTTTTGTGCTATCATAATCATTCATATACTTATGGTTAACAATTGAATCTCTGACAACATTGTACTAATCCCAACGAATATCATATTCTATAAATCATTGCATATCTATGTCTGTAAATAATTCCAATTCTATTTTTTCCTTAGTGGAAGAGCAGTTTCTTGCAAACATTCAAATTTAGTAGAGTAATCATATGGGAAAACTCCCTTCCTATGTACTAGATTAAAGTGTGTTTCGTCCGGGAAGAACCGTTTAACAGTTGTGAAATTATTATGTTCTAAATTAGAGGTAAGACTATCTAAACTTGAACCATAAATCGAAATGAGTCTAAAAAACGTATTTCCAAATTTGTATTATGCTCTGTAATATATGTGTATTTTGAAAGGGATATGTAAATCTCTTTATTGAGCGGTAGAGCCTTAATTTCACCTTCAACTTTTGACAACTCTCTTACAAATAAATGAACATCATGATGTGAAAAATTATGAAAAAGTACGAGGATAAATGAGGCAACCTTGTAATTTATGTTACAGGCATTATGAGATGCCACTCTTAATTTACCAGTTAATTGGCAATGATCCCGTACTCCATCGAAGTTTAAAATCTTAGTGCGAATGTGGCAATTTATAGCATTTTTAAATTTATGCTTATCCTATTTGCTATAAATCTCTCTTGCATCAGCAATGAGAGATGTTACAAAATGTAATCCTGCACTTTCTTCACTATATATAACGAATTTATCGAAACTAGAATCATATGCAGATTTTACAAAATATGCGTCTGCAACAGGAATGTGTTCTTGAATGCTTATTACATTCTCATTCACATTCCTGTTCATAGGTTTTAAGACGCACTCGAAATCTTCATAAATTATAAAAAGTATATCTAAACTATTTGAATAATTTTTAAATTTGACACTCGCCGCTGTTGGAAGCTTCGCAACCACTATTTCAAACACTGCTCGCCATGCATCTTGTCGTTATGCGAATATTTTAAGCATACATAACCAAAGACACTTAAGTAAGTATTTTGTTGCTCAAACAATTTAATGTCTTTGAGCTTTATTAAAAATTGCATATTATGAAATTTGAGTGAGAATATCTCATCAATCTCAATAATTGGACTCCTTATATCATCCATTTTATATGGGGCACACCTATCAGCACTATGTTGCAAGTTCTTTAGGGCTGCTGTTAAAGCCTACTTAGAGCAAAACTCATCGTCGTTTTTTATATTAATAATAGCTTTATTCAAGCCCAATTTCCGTGGTAATGGAATAAAACTAGAGCCTCTTAGCGGCTTATATTTATTGACGTTCATTTCCAAACGTATAATTTTTATGAGAGTCCAACCACTATCTCTCTCTTGTAAGCATCTTTGAACTTATGACGTATGAGTGGCTCACAAATATTTCTTCCAAGTCAGAAGACTTCGTAGCCACTCACATTTCAGTTTGATAGGATTTTATCATTATTTCAAAATCTTCACCATTATTATTATTACTATTTATTTTCGCATATTCAGCGAAAAGCTCGAAGTTGATTTTATATGAGGTGTGCAGCTCTAAAACGTTTTCCATTATTGGAAGTAATGAACTTCCTGCTTCCAATAGGAACTCTTCAGGGAACATAACGTTATCCGAAACATTGCTATATGAATAGGTGATAATCCGGTATTGGAACCCGGATGCCGCAAGTTGAACATAGCCATCCAACGGTGTGAAGGCCTTATTTTTGTGTTCTTTTGCCCACAAATGTTGTGCCCAGCGATTATGAGCCACCGTTACTCCACAAACCTCACAAAAGCGTTGTGCATTTTGATTATTGTTTGCTGATGTTGATGCCATATTTATACCCTGAACCCATTAAAAATGGGTATAAGGGTATACTGTATGTGTGCAAAATCCAAACAGGCAAAAGGAAGCATCTCCGACCCCATGAGGTATAAATATTCTTGATCAGCACCAATAGCCGAGTCGATCTAGCCATGTCCGTTTGTCTGTCTGTCCGTCCGTCCGACTGGCCGTATGTATGAAATTTTAGATGTAGGTGCTCCTAGTGCCTGCGCAGATCAAGCTTGTTTCTGATAATCGATAGCTTACTACGTTTCTAAGCAATCGATAAAAATCGATATCGATATCCTGTTTTTTGGACAATTTTGGTAAGAAGTCATGTCCGTCTGTCTGTCCGTCCGTCCGTCTGTCCGTATGTATGAACGCAAAGATCTCAGAACCTATAAGAGCTAGAGTGCCAGTGCCTGCACAGATCGAGTTTGTTTCCGATAATCGATAACTTACTGCGTTTCCAAGCAACTGATAAAAATCGATTTCGATATCCTGTTTTTCAAGTCTCTAGCTCTTATAGTTTCTGAGATCCTTGCGTTCATACATATGGACGGTCGGACTGACGGACGGACGGACGAATGGACGGACAGACAGACGGACATGGCTAGATCGACTCGGCTATTGATGCTGATCAAGAATATATATGCTTTATGGGGTCGGAGATACTTCCTTCTGCCTGTTACATACATTTGGATTTCGCACAAATACAATATTCCCTTATACCTATTTTTAATGGGTTCAGGGTATATAAATTAGCATATTATTTGTTGTATATGATTTATTATTGAAAAGACAATCTTTAAAGCATTTCACACTGATGTTTTCCAAAATTGATTTTTTAATACCCTTTGCCTTTTTAACACAACCTCCGTCCTCAAGTTTCAATGCGTACATTTTGGGTCGAAGTCTTATGAATTCTTTCATTATCCTACCAATATTCTCATCTTTCATCATGCCCAAGACTTTTTTATTAACTCTCTTTAGGGCATGTTTCGAATTTCATTTCAAGATCATCTTTAATATCTGCATAAAAGCCCTCAGTTTTAATTGTGTATATTAAGGAGTCGGTATCCATATAATTTAATACTAGATCAGATTTAAGCTTTGCTACCACATAATCATAATAAAAATCATACATCAACAATTTCGAAAAATCTTATACTGTTAAACCTAAATATATGGGCTTATTATAATAAGTTTTATATCTTTTCATTTGGATTGCATATGTAGTATACCTCCCCCGCCAGTTACACAAATCAAAGGGTATAAAAGTTAATACATACATTGTGACACTCAGTCATAATAATCATAAATATACAAATACCCAAAAGACCACACTTAAACATACAAACACACCAGCGCATATGTCATACGATCCACCACTTATATACATGGCTATCGTAGCGCGTGGGAATGCTGAGCATGCACATTGCAGCTCAAGTGGTCAAGATATACACAACATATGTATGCCTTCTGCATACACATGTATATACTAATATACTTACACATAAATATAAGACATAGATATAAGCATTGCATGTTTCGGGTTAGCTGAACACAGCACGAATATGTAAGAAGCATTCTAAATAAAGCAAGACAACGGAGCAGACGCTCCTAACCAAAACGTTCTCGTCTGTAACGAATATATTACATGGCGACCGTAGCAGGACTCTCACCAATCTGCAGTGAATAAAATACATCCCAAAAACTAGTGGAAAGGGAGCCAAGAAAGCAGGCAACAAACAACAACAAACTTCAACAAAAACAACAGCAACAGCAGATGACATTTACTACAACTCTGGTAACAAATAAAAAGACAGCAGCGATGGAGGGATAGCTGTGGACAACAAATAAATATTTGAGTGAGTAGAGTGCGGAAGGATAAGAAAATAAAGAAACAGAAAAAGCGCGGCGGTGTCAAACAACGACTGAGGTCGGAAATTGACCGTCTCAGCAAAGACTTGAACAATCAAGATAACCCGCCAGCATGGAACGATTCTGTTTCCATGCATGAAAAACGTTCGTTTCGTGAAGCACAACTAGTGCAATTAATAAACAAAAAACAAATTCCATCCGTCTCCTACCGCCAAATACAAAATATAAGCAAGAAAGTTACTCCTCTTATTCAAACAGCTATCGCAGCATATGAGAGACAATGTCCGGCGGGCTGTGAGGGTCCATTCTACAACATTGGCTGCGCACTGACTTGCGAGATTGCCAAACCGACAGCGCTACAAAGAGCGCAATAGAGGGCAGCATACAATCATCCCGGAGCGAGGACCAGCACCGGCAACATGAACGAGTTTCGACAGTGGACCGACAGCGCTACAAAGAGCGCACTACAAAATTTTATACCCTGAACCCATTAAAAATGGGTATAAGGGTATATTGTATTTGTGCGCAATCCAAATGTATGTAACAGGCAGAAGGAAGCATCGCCGACCCCATAAAGTATACATATTCTTGATCAGCATCGATAGCCGAGTCGATCTAGCCATGTAGCCGTCCCTCCGTCCGTCCGTCCGTATGTATGAACGCAAGGATCTCAGAACCTATAAGAGCTAGAGACTTGAAATTAGCTCCCGCGCAGATCGGGAGAAAACAAAAAAAATTTTAACAAAAGCCGCTACATCGATTATTGTTAATAATGTCTTGAACAATATATTAATAAATTAAAAAATAAAAAAAAAACAAGTAAGAGGTTTTAGTCGGGAGCTCCCGACTAGGGGATACCATGAAACCTCTTCTTCTAACATCAAATGTATATATATATATTCTATTTTAGAAGCTATATGTCAAGTTTTGTTACTCTAGCTCATATTTTTTTACCATAAATGCCCAAAAAACAGGATATCGACATCGATTTTTATCGATTACTTGGAAACGGAGTAAGCTATCGATTATCGGAAACAAACTCGATCTGCGCAGGCAATAGGAGCATCTACTCTCTTTAGGGCATATTTATGAGCATGATCATCAGAATATTCATATGTTTCGAATTTCATTTCAAGATCATCTTTAATATGTATATTAAGGAGTCGGTATTCATATAATTTAATACTAGATCAGATTTAAACTTTGCTACCACATAATCATAATAAAAATCATACATCAACAATTTCGAAAGATCTTATACTGTTAAACCTAAATATATGGGCTTATTATAATAAGTTTTATATCTTTTCATTTGGATTGCATATGTAGTATACCTCCCCCGCCAGTTACACAAATCAAAGGGTATAAAAGTTAATACATACATTGTGACACTCAGTCATAATAATCATAAATATACAAATACCCAAAAGACCACACTTAAACATACAAACACACCAGCGCATATGTCATACGATCCACCACTTATATACATGGCTATCGTAGCGCGTGGGAATGCTGAGCATGCACATTGCAGCTCAAGTGGTCAAGATATACACAACATATGTATGCCTTCTGCATACACATGTATATACTAATATACTTACACATAAATATAAGACATAGATATAAGCATTGCATGTTTCGGGTTAGCTGAACACAGCACGAATATGTAAGAAGCATTCTAAATAAAGCAAGACAACGGAGCAGACGCTCCTAACCAAAACGTTCTCGTCTGTAACGAATATATTACATGGCGACCGTAGCAGGACTCTCACCAATCTGCAGTGAATAAAATACATCCCAAAAACTAGTGGAAAGGGAGCCAAGAAGGCTGGCAACAAACAACAACAAACTTCAACAAAAACAACAGCAACAGCAGATGACATTTACTACAACTCTGGTAACAAATAAAAAGACAGCAGCGATGGAGGGATAGCTGTGGACAACAAATAAATATTTGAGTGAGTAGAGTGCGGAAGGATAAGAAAACAAAGAAACAGAAAAAGCGCGGCGGTGTCAAACAACGACTGAGGTCGGAAATTGACCGTCTCAGCAAAGACTTGAACAATCAAGATAGCCCGCCAGCATGGAACGATTCTGTTTCCATGCATGAAAAACGTTCGTTTCGTGAAGCACAACTAGTGCACTTAATAAACAAAAAACAAATTCCATCCGTCTCCTACCGCCAAATACAAAATATAAGCAAGAAAATTGCTCCTCTTATTCAAACAGCTATCGCAGCATATGAGAGACAATGTCCGGCGGACTGTGAGGGTCCATTCTACAACATTGGCTGCGCACTGACTTGCGAGATTGCCAAACCGACAGCGCTACAAAGAGCGCAATAGAGGGCAACATACAATCATCCCGGAGCGAGGACCAGCACCGGCAACATGAACGAGTTTCGACAGTGGACCGACAGCGCTACAAGGAGCGCACTACGAATTTTTATACCCTGAACCCATTAAAAATGGGTATAAGGGTAGTCGGGAGCTCCTGACTAGGGGATACCATGAAACCTCTTCTTCTAACATCAAATGTATATATATATATTCTATTTTAGAAGCTATGTGTCAAGTTTTGTTACTCTAGCTCTTATTTTTTATCAAAATTGCCCAAAAAACAGGATATCGACATCGATTTTTATCGATTACTTGGAAACGGAGTAAGCTATCGATTATCGGAAACAAACTCGATCTGCGCAGGCACTAGGAGCATCTACTCTCTTTAGGGCATATTTATGAGCATGATCATCAGAATATTCAGATGTGTCGAATTTTATTTCAAGATCATCCTTAATATCTGCATAAAATTCCTCAGTTTTAATTGTGTATAAGTTAATTCCAAAGTTTATTAAACGATGAAAAAAATATAATTTTTAGGGAAGCAAGACTTCCTTTATTTGATGTTAATTTGCAACTGAATAAACTTAAATCAATTCTAGCCCTAGTAACCTGTGGCTTAGCGGCAGCGGCGTTGGCAGCGGCGTCGCTGCTGATGTTGTTTGCCCGTTGGGCAATTCTTCTTGGAATTTTCGGCGGTTGCCAGTCGGCGCGTGGAGGAAATGGCACAGACACCAAGTCAGCATTTTGCTGCACTTCTTATGAGGTGTTGCAATGCTTCTTATTGGGACTGTATGAATTTATTTGTTGTTAACTCTTCCCCCTTTGATTTAAGCTTGTCCTCAAGCGATCATCAGAAGAAAGGTATGTTGTTGAACCTGAGGTTGTTGGCATCTGTATATTGTATTTGGATATGTGCTGGTTCTTTTTTGGGTCTCTCTTGTTCTTTGTTCAGTTGCAGTATTATATTTTTCTTATTTTTCTTCATTACGTGTAATACACAGGTAAGAAGGATGGCAACTGTGAACAGAGTTATGAAACCGACTCTATTTGCTATAGAGTGCGCTGAAGTTTTTGCATGTTTTTTATGTTGTTGATGTGCAATTCTTCTAAAGCTTCCAAAAAAAAGAATCTTTATTCTTTCGTTTTCTATTGGGGTTATTTGTATTGTGGGATTTCCTGGGGTCATGACGGTGACCTCTAGGTTGCTGAACTCTTGTTTGTTGATGAATAAGGTTTCGTTCCAGAAGTTAATCATGTAGGTGTCTCTCACGCGTTTCTTCTCTTCTTGCCATCTAATAGTGCCGTTGAAGTCGTTCACTAGTATAAGTCCCTCGTCGATTTCCTCGATCTCCGGGATATGATCTGCATTGCTAAAGCCACAGAGCGCTTGCTCTCCGCTAACTACCTTAGGTATACAATTATTATTGTTCAAATTTACGATTTTTGATTTGTTACAAATTTTAATATTATGGTATCTTTTACAATTGTTGTTTATGCCATAGATTGTTTTATTACAATGAAACAGTTCGCTAAATTCTAAATTTATTATATTGTTGTTTTTCACTACTGGCTTTATTATAGTATTTTTGCATTCTATTTCTTCTAAATTTGGAATTTTTACAATATAAAACAGAGTGGTTCCATTATGCAAAATGGATACATCTGCGAATTCTAGCATTTCTTAAATATTTAAAGGTGGCATGTTGCTTTTATTAAAGTTATCGTTAATAGGAATCTGTAATTTTTATGTGTTTTTTATATTGCTTTTATGTATTATTTTGTCAGTTATTGTTAGTACGGTTGTGTTTCTATTTTCTTTAACTATTTCCTTTTTGTATCTGGGTGACAGTTTGGTACCTAATCTGGTATTGACTTTGACGAATATTTCTTGACCAGGTATGTAAGTTCGTATATCGTTACGTTTTTTGTTATGATTCTGCATGTCAGTCGATTGTTTTTGTTTGAGTCTGTCAATGTTCTCCTTCCTAGCTTTTTCGTATTGGTCTGGGTCCGTAGTCACGTTTCTGCCAAAGAATATGTCTAATGGTCTCTTGTTAGTTGTCGAGTGTATAGTGTAGTTGTAGTCGTATATTGATTTGTTAAGTAGTTCTTTGAATGTTCTGTATTTCTGTTTTCTTTTGTTGCATCTCATTATGTCTGATAGTGTTGAATGAAATCGTTCTACCTGACCGTTCACTGCGCTTTTGTAGGGTGGTGTTTTATAAACTTCTATATTTAATTGGTCCTGCATCATGAAAGTGATTGAGGCTGAATTAAGGGATTTTTCGTTATCTATTACAACTACTTTAGGTACGCCAAAATAAAAAAGGATTTCATGAAGTGGTTTTTTAATGTCTTCTATTGCCCTAGATTTGATAATTCGTCCCTGAGCTAATTTCGAGAATTTGTCTACTGCTGTTAGTACTAAGTTTTTTTCTGTCGTGTATATGTAGATGTGGATTGTATGTCCTGGGTATTCGGGGATTGGTGTTTCTTTGAGTTTTGGGTTAGTGGGATGCCTATCGTATTTTTCTTCTTTACAAACCTGACACTGTTTGACTAATTCTGTTATTCGTTGCTTCATTTTTGGGAAATAGAATCTTTCGGACAATTGCATTTTGTTTTCTAGTGCGTTGCGGTGGGCTCTGTTGTGTGTAACCAATATCTTCTCATCTTGTTCTGTTTCATTTGTTAAATCTTTTACTTGAGACTGTGTGAATCTAATCTTGAAGTTCCTAAAATGTTGGGGATATATGTGCTGAATTTGGTTCATTATTTCTTCTGAGGTTATTATTCCGTTGATTACGGATGGGTTTAGATGAGCTTTCAGTATTTGCGTAAGGTCGTGTTCTGAGAAATTTGGTCGAGTAATTGTATGCCTGTGGAATGTTGGGAATGGGATATGGAATTCGTAATTTGTTTCGTTGGCTCTACTGAGAAATATCTGGTTTTGAATACGTTAATTGGAGCTTCTATGCTCGGAATTAAATTGTGGCTTGAACTGTCTGCACTGTGCTGGGTGGAGACTACTGATCCAATATTATTGATCACAGGGATACGTGATAGCGCATCGGCTACAATGTTATCCCTACCTGGCTTATAGAGGAGTTCGTAATCAAACTCTTCTAGGTAAGCTTTCCACCTCTTTATCCTAGCGTTGCCGTTCCAACTGCTAAGAGAGTGGGTTAAGGGTTGATGGTCGGTGTATATTTTTACACTCGCTTTACCGTAGAGGTAATTCTTGAGGGCTTTTAAGGCCCAAATTATTGCCAACATTTCCCTTTCATTGGTGGCGTAGCTCTCCTCTGTTTTAGAGAGAGTTCTAGAGAGGAAACAAATGTGTCGCTTGTTCTGGGATAGGACAGCCCCAATAGCAAAGTTGGATGCATCTGTTATCAGATGAAATTCTTTGCTGAAGTCTGGGTAATGAAGTATTACCTCATTCGAAACTAGGGAATTTTTTATTTAATTGAATGCTTCGATCGCTTCTTCGTTGAGATTAATGAGCTTTTTAGCTGATTGATTTTTGGACACGCGTCCATCTTCCCCTCTTAAAAGAGAGGTTAGGGGCTTTGCCAGCTTAGCGAAGTCTTTTATAAACCTCCTATAATAGCTGGCAAGGCCAATAAACGATCTTAAATCTTTGAGTGTTTTTGGAAGTGGGTACTTCCTTATTGTCTCAATTTTGTTTGGATTAGTTTCTATCCCCTTGTCTGAGATGACAAATCCCAGGAATTCTACTCTGCTTTTAAAGAACTCTCATTTGTCCAACTGACATTTCATGTTGGCTTCTTGTAGAGTTCTGAATATGGCGGCAAGGTGCTGCGCATGCGATTCATCATCTTTGCTAAAGATAATGATATCGTCAATATAAATGAAGCATATTTTTCCAATTATATGCTCACGAAGGATGTCGTCAAGAGCTCTCTGGAAAATTGAGGGCGCATTCTTGAGACCGAATGGGAGTCGTGTAAACTCGTATTTTCCGTTGTTAACGGAGAAGGCAGCTTTTTCTATGTCTGACTCCTTAAGGGGTATTTGATGAAAGCCACTTTTCAAATCTAAGACAGAGAAAACTTTGTTATTGCCTAGCTGTGCTAGTACCTCGTTGATTACGGGTATAGGGTATTTGTCTGCGGTAGTTTCTTTATTTAGTTTCCTGTAGTCTATAACCATGCGATATTTCTTTTGCCCGGAGGCATCTAATTTTTTCGGAACAATCCACACAGGTGAATTGTACGGGGATCGGAAGGGTCGGATGATTCCGTCCTCTAAAAGTTCTTTGATTTGGCTGTGTACTTCGTCTTTTAAAGACATTGGAAATTGGTAAAATTTTGAATATATGGGGGAGTCGTTTTTTGTTCGAATCTCTGCTCTGACGATGGTTGTGTATGTCAGTTTTTCGTCCGGATTGGCAAATAGGTGTGGGTGCATTTTAACTAGTTGATTAAGGCTATTTTTTTGTTCGTTTGTCATATGTTCTGTCCGTGGTATTACCGTGTTGACCGCCTCTATTTTTTTCTGCTTAATGGGTATGCAAATGTTGTTCTTGATTTTTAGTAGATTCTTGCTGCTTTGTATCACAGCATCTAGTTCCTTTAGACTATCGTTACCTAATATGGCGTCAAATGATTTTAGGGTGGGTAAGAGAAAGAATTTTATTTTTATATCGTTTCTATTAAAAAGATTAGCGAACTTGTGGTGTGTAATTTTAATGCTTTCGCCGACTGTGACGGCTTCAAAGGGTTTTTCGTTTGGAATAGGCTCGGACACGAATTTTGGTTGGACGTACTTTCGGTTTGATCCTGTATCTATTAGAATTTTGAGTAATTTTCCGCTCCCCATCTTACATTCTATGTAAGGAAGAGAGGAGCTCTTTATCCTAAAAAATTAATGTCTGAGTGTTCGTATTGGGTATTTTGTCCGTCATCTGTTTCTTCAATTTGTTGGGCGTATTCGTTAAATGGCTGTTCGTATTCAGTCTGCTGTTCGTAATTTAGCATTGATTGTACGTATTCCTCCATAGTCACATAGTTGTCGGTGTTTTCTGTCTCCGTCTGTTCTTCTCCTGTTTGTATGTTGAAATTTCTTTGTTTTTTGTCCGTGGCGTTTGTTGGTGGTGGAGGTCTTTTCCCTACTTCAAAATTGGGTCTGTTCATGTAGTTTATCATCCTCGTGCGGATGCTTTGGTCCACGT